AATAAAAGGAGCTTTTCCAGCCTAAAAGAAGAAAATAAAAAGACTTACATCATTAGATTGAAACAATCGAGTCATTGCAAAGAAGGCTTCTGTGGCTTCCGTAGTTCCAAAGTGTTCACCCTAAGGAAAATTGAAAACAACTTCTTAAATTTTAAAAAAAAAAAAAAAAGTATATTAAGGATTTTCCTTTTTTTCTGCAAAAATCTTTTAGAACTCAGTGGAAAAATTTCTTTGTAAACATTCTGCCTCTGAGCTATTTTTCTGGCTTTCAATTTATAAACTTGTATGGGCATTGTGTCCACTCCTTATTTGAAATAATTCAGTATTACACACCATGCTAGAAAAGTTCTGGAATAGTCATCTCTAACCTTTTAGCAGGAACTATTTTGATTTCCCTAGAGAACCACAATTTATAAGGAGGTAGAAAGTAGTAGCAAGTTGAGTTCCTAATCAGAATGGCATGTTAATACCACACTGCCTATAAGCAGAGATCACACCTTTTATATTTCTATAATCCAATGCCCAGCACAAAGCCTGACATATTATAGGAGCACAATAAATATTAAATTATAAAGAGCTATATATTAGGAATTCCAGAAAACATGGTAAAAAGGGACCAACCAAAAAGGCAGGAACCAGATTAGTTATATAAAAGTCAGGCTTTGGATGATGCTTTGGATCAGAACTTTAATATGCTCAATAAATCATCCGAGGATCTTTCCAAAATGCAGAATCGGCTTTAATAGCCCTGGGTGAAGGCTGAAATTTTGCATTTCTAACCGGCTGCTGGTGATGCAAATGCTGAGTCTGAGAATGGCATGTTTTTAAGTAGCAAGATGTGAGATAACTTATTTTACTCACAGTCAAAAAATTCCAGATTAGAGACCACCTGAGACATTAACATTTGAATAACCAATTTCATTAAAAGCAATCCTCATCATGCATTAACCTCAATCACTTTTCAGGGCTTCAGACCTCGCTCGGAATATAACTAGCTCTCGATCTATTTGTTATGGGAATAAGAATAAACAAATTTTGGTGACAAACTTTAAAAGTTGAGTTTGAAACACAGAGTATAAGAATTCACAGTTACTTAAATCAGAAGACCCAACATGCTCAGTAAGAGACTTCCCTCCCTTTCCTCCATAAATACTTAGTGAACATATGGAAGTCCAGGCACTTTTCAGTATGCTCAGTAAACCCTAAGTCCCTACTTTTGGGCTTAAAATTCAGAATATATGAGTAGATCAGCTGTAGTAGGAATTTGAAAGTATGTTTCCATAAAGCAATACCAAGAACTAGGCCAAAGGTAAAACTAAGGTTCCCAAACCTGTTTGTGTAGTTGACTGTGTTTATTTATCAGATTACACTGGTAATTTTCTTATCAAGATAATGAAGTGTTTCAACATGAGTTTTCCATCAAAGAGGTACTGGTCAATATAAAAGTGTGTATTACTCGGCACTGCTCTCAACTACTCAAAACTCTGCTTATACAATGGATTTAGCCAACCTGGGCTCAATGTGTGTTATGAAAAATTAAATCAAACTGACTTTGTCCTAAATGCTTCTAATATGCTACCAGAGAAGAATATGATGTTGGTACAAGATTATATTTTATGTCACAGTAAGTACTTGTTGCTCAGTCTCCATTTGCAAAGGACAAACCTTCATCGTGTCTTCAGTAATGAAATACAGTAAAAATATGATATCCTCATGGAATTCAAATTGGAAACCATGGTCTTCTAAACACCATATGTAAGCCACCTGAAGTATATATGAGTGTATATTTGTGTGTGCGTGTGTGAGTGTGTGAATCTAAGAAACAAAATCACATTTTCTAAGGTCCTAGACATTTCATGAGAATTTTTGGTCTGAAGCAAAACAAAGAAACAAACAAAAACACAAGAAAAAATAAAATTAATAGCAATAACAGCAAACAGAATCCACGTTCTATCAGGGCAAATACTTTTGTTGGTTTTGTCTGCTATGTCCCCAGTGCCTCAAACAGTGCAGAGGAATCAACAGGTGTATTATAAATATTTGCTGAATGACTGAATGAAAACTATTCCTGAATGTGCATGTCCAGGACTGTTCTCTGTGCTTTCCATTCATTATCTCATTGAATCATTACAACTTTAGAAAACAGGCATTGTCATAATCCCCATTTATAGAAAAGGACACTAAGGCACAGAATGGTTAAGCACAGAATCATATCGCTTGCCATGGTACAGTAGGGATAATACATATAAATTCTAAACATGAAAATCAAAGCTTGGGAAAAAAAAAATTCACCACTATACTCCTCCCCCTCCAAAAAAGTAAACTATCTATCTGGAATTTGTTTAAGATTTTGTACTGTATTTTTGGAGGGACATGAGACCTCTGAACAAATCTAAACAACATGTTTTAACATCAACTAAAACTTGTTAAATTCAAATCAAGATCGAGGACCTACTATGCATTTAGCTGATCTAGTACCTCATGAATAAAACAGAAGTATATGTCATAATCCTTATCCTATATAACCCTTACATATCTTTACCTGAATCAAACACTGTATATTTCTAAATTAAGTGAATTAAAAAAAAAAATAACTATATTTTCCAGAAAGTATTTCACTGCATGTTATGTATTTCTAGTCCAGGAAACAAATCTAAGGCAAATCAAAACAGTTTACCTGGTTCAGTAAGTAAAGAATCTTTGTAAGAATATGCAAACATCTTCTTGGATTGATGGGTGTTTCATTGAATATACGAGCCTGTGGGACAAAAAAAAATTGTTATACATAGTATATTTTCTATCATTTCTATCACAGATTACAAAAATCAATTTTAATCAAATAAACTACATATTTTGATCACAATATCCAAATAATGTTAATTGCTTACAATTGTTTTCAATTTATCACAGTATATGATACATTATTACACACGGTCTTGATTTTCCATTCCACACTCTTTCCCTTAGATCTAGTACTTCAACTTTATGTGCTTTATGTGTTAAGTAAGAATCACAGTATTTACCTACAGCATTTGAATACAATTAGTTTAATATCTGCAACTTCCTTCAGTAACCTTGTACTATACACCTCTTTGGCATTTTATTTAAAATTATCAACATGTGGGAGAGTCTACATGTTTTTGCATTTCTATAAGCTCTAGCCCCACTGAGGATAAGTAACCATCTTCTTTTTCCCTCATGTCTGTATTCTCCGAAAACAGTATTGCATTCCTCAATTCTTATTTGGGGTCATCATATTCCAGGGGCTCTCTGACCACCATTCTAAAATGGAATAGAAAAGAAAGAACACAGCATACTTCCAAGTCATACCTCCTGTAAGACAGCACTCTTCTCCAGATGCCGAAAAGGATTGGAGCCACTACCTATGTTATAAACAAAAAAATGTCTTTAAGAGCTGTCCTAGACAAATTTATGTCTACAGGTTATTGAATGCTTGGGATAGCTCACCTAAGTGGAGCGATCACTTGGATATCACAGTGAGAATCATTACAAATACACATATAAATTGAATAAAATCATTTCGATTCTGGTACTAGCTGTGTTTGCTAGTCATTGGAGATCTTGGACTTCTCTTTTGCAGGATCCCTGCCCAAAATGAGTGCCTCTTCCCCTGTCCTCGTTTCACATGAATGTGACATGTGTATGTCACGGGCACACAGCTAAGATGGATGAGACGGTGGCTGGGCCCTTTGGATTTCCCCAAAGGCAAGCACTATCTTACATGTTTCCAACAATTACCGCGAGGCAGAAAAGAGTTTAGCAAAGTACCCTATCATATCAAGCTGGAAGAGGCCATGGAGATTTCCTAAACCAAATCTCGACCACACCATGGGAGAGCAGCACCAAACGATGAGGGGGTTTGGTTTGGGAGTTTGGAGGGGGTTGTTTTCAGGTGGCTTGGCATCTTCCCCTTTTGCTTCCCATTTTGCTCTGGACCAAGGACGGGTATCAAGAACGAACTCACTTCTGGATGCCTGAGCATTAAATGACCTATGTACCACGGGACAGTCTGAACCCCCTGGGTGGCGGAAGACGAAGGTACAAGGCACTTCCAAGTTCGTACACACACGTACACACACTGTCCCGTCGAGCCCAGACCCGCTACGGGCCTACCACGACCAGCGCCCCCAGCTCTCACACGCGCGCACCCACTCCCTCGGCCACGCGCCGTGGGCCCGCCTCCTCTGCGGACAGCCCACCCCCCGCGAGCGCGGCTGAGGCAGCTCCGAGGGGCTGAGCCCTGGGGAGGGGGCGGGAGCGGGGGGCGGGGCCGCCGAGCCGCCAGACGCGGCGCGCGGGCGCGGGCGCGGGGCGGGAGCGCGCGACCCGAGGGGAGGCTCCGGCGCCCGGGGGAGGGGCTAGGGGCAGGCCCCAGGCTGCTGCAGAGCGGAGCCGGGCGGAGGGAGGGGCGGGCTCCAACTCCGGCCCCCTGGCACACCGGCGCCCACGCCTTCGGTTCCGCGGCCCCCGAGAGCAGGTGTCGGCGGGCGGGGAAGGGGCCCCCGCGGCTGAGGGTGGGCGTCAGAAGCCCAGCGCGTACCAGACTCCTCGTCCTTCTTGTCGAATTTTTTAATCATCTTGGACGACTTCCCAGCGCCCAGACCCACCGCAACCGTCCCAGGCGCCGCAGCCGGCGAGCGGAAGAGACTGCAGGAAGGCCGGCCCCGTGCTCTGGCGCCGGTTGGGTCGCCGTCCCGTCACTCGGGGAGAAGGCCCGCCCTCCCCCGGCTGTCGCGGCCGCTCTGGTCCCCTGGGGACGCGGCCACGCCCTCTCCTCCTCCCCCACCCGGGCGGAGGCGGGGCCAGGGGCTGGGACCCCTGGGCTGCGTCCGGGCCCCAGCAGCGACAGGTTGGAGCTGGGGGCTGGCCCTGGCCCGGAGCGGGCAGAATGCGACTTTATTAGGTTGGCACGCCCTGGGAAGTGACTTCTGCAGTCCCCTTAGTCTCTGGAGACCGAGGCGGGAGGCCCGGAGGGTTTTTCACTTGACGACAGTGGCGTTTTTGATAACCCACTGCTGGGCCCTTCCATTGCGGAACATGCTCCCCCCTGGCACAGTTCTGTTGGGTTTCTCTTCCAGGAGCGAAGAAAGGGTTAGTGGTTCCCAAATCATCTTGGAAGTCGGCGGGTCACTCCCTGACTTGGCGACTGGAACAAAGCACAGGGCGCCTTGGTGAATGTGGATTTCCAGAAGATTTAGGACACTCAGTGTGAGGCAGGAAGGAGACCCACTTGGAGAGACCAGGAAACTTTACTCTTAGCAAGAGGGTAAATTTTGGACCATGGACTACCATGCCCAACCTTCTTTATAGTTCTGGATTCCTTCCCTTCATCAAAACCCTGTTTAAAATACTGCCAGTTTGGAGACTTCCCTGTTTCATCCTACCCCTTTCAAATGATCCCACCTGCAACCATATGAACACTTAGACAACTCAGTAAGGTGTACTCACTGGTACATTCATTCATATTCCTCTTAGCCTTTTCCTAAAATGTAGGTGGTTTTCCGTCCTCCTGTCTGAGCGTGTACCTAAGAAACTGTTTCTACCTTTGGCTTCAGGGTCCTCACTTTATCCAGATTCTCTTTCAACCTCTGCCTGTTCTTGGAAGTTTCCAGTCTGGGCTCTTCTTGCTTCCATCCCTCCGCACTTCTTTGATGCATCGTCTTGTAAATACCCCGTGAATCTGTTTCCTTATTCCTACTGCTATCACCTTAATTCGGTTCCTATCATCTATCTCTTGGATGGCCTCCTAATCACCCCCCAACCAATTATGGCCCCCATCCAAACCATTCTCTACCTAATCTCTATTTAGATGCCGGGCAAACTGGGAAGGAGACTGGCTATTGGCAGAAGGAGGGTTGGCTAGCAGTCTCTTTTGCTTGAAGTGGAGACATTGTTTCAACTTCATAGCCCCATTGTCTTTGTTTAGGGAAAGCATCACAAGGGGCCCTTTGGATACGTAAGGGAGTAGGGTACTCACTTTTCTTGGGGGGAAACTGTAAAGTCACCAGAGATCTACTAATTGCTATAGACAGAGATATTATGTGTTCTATTTAGAAATGTAAATTGGGTAGATCCTTAAAAATTCATGCCCTTGAGAAAGAGAACTTCTAATCTAGATTAGATTCTAGATTCCAGAGAAATTATTTCCCCCAGTATTGACTTAAACCAAACTGCTGATATCCTACATACAGTATCATTTAAGATGTAACTCCAGCTTTACTTAATGTGCTATTAACTGTTATGTTCATCATACCTTGCTTATAAAGCTCAAACCTTACCGTGGTGGAGGGGTGGAATTTCCCTTGAAGGAAATAAACATCCCTACTTATTATTATAGAACTGGGGGGGGAGGCGGGGGAACAGTCTTGGAGCTTGATAAGTGTTCAACACTTACAGTTGCCCCATAAATGTTAAATGAATGATAATGTATAAGGAGCATTTTCATTGCATTCTCTTCTGTAAAACCTTATCACAAACCCCTTCCATGCTGTGTCTGCCTCGACCCCAAAGAAACTGATGAACCTCAGACTTATCCTTTGGTCCTTCTAGAATAGTTTTCCACAAAGTGTGATGTGCAAAATACAAGGTGATTTTAGGTGATACATAGATAAATATTTTAAATTTTAATTATTACAAATTCGACTAAATTTATGTCGGGAAAAAACATGTAACTATTATATCGTATGATACAGTATTAAGAAAGGAACAACAACAACAACAAAAAACCTTTTAAAGAAAAACACCAAGTAACAGGGCAAATAATACACCAATATGGCTAAAACTATCAAAGTGGTAGGCGATGTAGTTTGGGAAACACTAGGCTAGAGCTTTCTTGAAATTTGAGAGTTTAAAAAAAAAAAGAAATTTGAGAGTTTAACGGAGTCCAAAGCCTAGTATCACTCAGGCCTCTTAACAATTCTTAGCATCTATGCTACAAGGAAAAATAGTTTCTAGAACTTCCAAGAGAGAGGTTGATTTGCCCTTATCTCTTGTCCCCAAAAGGTTGTGCCTCCTGCCCACATCTCAGATCTATAAACCTTTGCTTTAAAAGAAAGAAGCTTACCATCTTTCCTCATATCTCTTTTACAGAGTGAAGAAAAGTTGAGCTGGGGATACATTTGTTTCTGTTTCCTCAAAGCATAGACCTTTAAATACTTCCCTTCGCTCTTGAAATCATGGTCGGTGGAAAACCTTAAGAAAGAAAGCTCATTTAATAGATCCTAGGGCAGGGCGTTAATGGAAGCACTCACTACATTCCAATTCTAGGAGAGAAGAAAGGACAGTCACTAGAGAATGCTCATTGGTATGGAGTGGGAGTATTGCTCAATGGGAGGGATGCTTGTAGAACCCAGCATTGTAAAACTGTGAAGGAACTCTAAAATCTCTTCTTGGTTGCCTAGGTGGCTCAGTCAGTTAAGCATCTGCCTTAGGCTCAGGTCATGATCCCAGGGTCCTGGGATCCAGCCCCATGTTGGGCTCTCTGCTCAGCAGGGAGCCTGCTTCTCCCTCTCCTTCTGCCATTCCCCACCCAACCCCGCTCGTGCTCTCTGGCTCTCTCCGTCAAATAAATAAATAAAATCTTTTTAAAATAAAAATTCAAAATATTTAAAAAGTAAAAATAAAATCTCTTCTCTCCTCCCCAAATTAAATGTGCGTTGCTCCTGTACCTGGTTTCAAATGAAATCTCATAGCATATTGTTCCTAAGCCACAACTCTTTACATGCACTGGGGGAAAATACTGTTCTGTTTCCTCTCATAGATCTTTGAGTACTTCTTTTCACTCTTGAAAATCATTCTCAATGAAAAACCTTAGTTTTGCATTACTGTCTCTTTTCATTAGGATATAAATGAGGTTGGGGGTCATGTAGGAAAGCTGTCTTATTATTATACAGTTCTATATATTTCCTACAATCGAAAAGCTTTCGTTAAATTGTGATGAAAAAAGATAGTAATATGAATAAGGAAACGATAGGGAAGAAAATGAGTACAAGAGCCAGGACTGCACCTAAACCACTGTTCTCGCTTGGATGTAGGATCCTCTGACAGGGTCATAGGAAAGGGTGGTTTCAGCCCAGATCGTAACTTTTTTTCCTGAGACATCAAGGGTAGGCAGAAGTTCTCAGCGGGCTTGTGCCGATGACCTTCCTGCAGCAGAGGAAAGAAGAGTAAGTGATGGAGTAAGCTGAGCCCTTGAGACTGGACTGTTTTCCTGGACTCAGCTTTAATTCCTCTAAAATGATGCAAAAAAACCTGCCAGAGAGGGAAGTGGGGACTGAAACCAAAAGAAAAGGAGGCAGTTCCCTGAGTGGGCTACTACAGTAGCCCCCTCTTGTCCACAGAAGATACATTCTAACACCCCCAGGGGATGCCTGAAATCATAAATAGTACCGAGCTCTCCAGACACACTATTTTTTCCTATATGTACATACCTATGATAAAAGTTTAACTTCTAAATTAGGCACAGTAAGAGATTACTAACAATAACCAATAAAATAGAATAATGATATTGTATTAAAAGTTAGGTGAATGTGGTCTCTTTCTCACTCAAAATAATATACTACACTAACCCCTTTCCTTCTTGTGATGATGTGAGATGATAACATGTGCCTACATGATGAGATCCAGGGAGGTGAGTGACATAGGCGTGGTGACAGCGTTAGGCTACCGCTGAAGAAGGAACAGCTGCTTCTGGCCCCGGGTTGACTGTGGATAACTGAAACCACAGAAACTGTAGATAAGAGGTGGGGGTGGAAATTACTGTACCTATTTGTTTTGTTGCCAGATGACACGTCCTAAGCTTGATCAGGGTCTTGAGTCATTGGCTGGACTTGCCCAGTGGCCCTTGGAAGTGAATGGCAGAGGACTTTACCCAGTTTTGAGAAGGATTCAATTAGTGAATCACTTAGGAAACCAAGATTTGGTAATACATTGGGGAAGAAATCCATAGGACTCTACCTTCCTTTCTCAAAGATGACTGCCTCATTCACATTCCATTCTCTGTCTGCAGTGAAAAGGTCATGAAATGGGATGTTTTGTTAGGTAATCATTTCACCATTACTAAAGGTCATAGAATCAAAGACTTTAAGAAAAGATCTTAAAGGTCATCCAGTCTAACCATTCATCTGACCCTCTTATCCCCTCTACAGTATCACTATCAAGTGGTCAGTCTTCCTGTACCAAAAGACTCAACCCATTTCCTCTTTGCTCAGCTGTTGGCTGCCCACCCCCACACCTTCTACCGTGTAGCCCAAACAGAAAAAATCTAGGGTCTCTTCTGCAGGGTCCTTAAAGAATTTGAAGAGATCCATCACATTCCTCCTAAGCTCCTTCTCTCTTAGGCTCAACATTGCCCTTATTTTGAACTTTTCTTCATGTGATCTGGCTTTCGGCTCCCTCTTCTCCTGACTTTTCCTGTAACTCACTTGAGAAAGCTTCTGTTTAGATTCTTCCTAATGTGTGGCAATCTGAAATGAAAACAACATGCTAGTAACAGCAGGACACATCCCATCACCCTGCTAAAGTCTCTATTCCAATGTCATCACCTCTTCTGAGAGTCTCGTCTAACTACACTATCTAGAATTGCCCCTCACACCCATCGTGCTCCATTCCTTTATCCTGCTTTGTCATGGCACTTAGCACATTCCACAGTATCTGTGTGATTGTTGGCTTGCTTCTGGTCTGTCTGCCTCCCTGGAATTAAAACTTCACTCAGCCAGACTTTGGCGTACTCACCCCTACCGCCCATGACAGTGCCCGGCACAGATTAGGTGCTCAATAAACACTTGCCGAGTCAATGAAAGAATAAATGAATGACCAGACTGATTAAATGACACGCACTGAGCTGCTTCCCCCAGAATTTTAAAGCCTCTTTAAAAAAAAAATACTTCCTATTGAACATGTCTTTTAAATTCCGTACTCCTTCTCTTTAAGCTCTTCCAGTTTTGAGGAACTTCTGTCTAAGTTACCTTAACAAATAGAGGTTTTACTCTAAGAGCTGATGGGCCGAGGATCTAAGACTTAGCTAACAATCTGGCCACAAAAAGAACAGAATCGTTACCAGAGCTGGACCTCATGGCAGAAAAACAGGAGAGGAAATGTATTTGGAATCCAGGATGACACTAGCTAAGGACAACCATGGCATGAGTTGGTGTATCTCGTCTCTGCCCCCTATCATTAGGTTGTCTCCTACTTTCGTCCTGTCTGCTTCCTTCTCTCTCTACCATGTTCACTCCCTGCCTTTATTCTGTATCCTTCTTCTCCCCATAGCTTCCACTTATTCATTTCTACTTCCCTAGAACTTTATCCTGTCCCTCCTCTACTTTCATGGTCCCAACACACTCCTCTTCCTCCTGGTTTGATTTTTTTTTTTCTTTAATGGCTTCTCTCTACCTATCCTTTCAGCTTTTCATTCCCACTGCCTTCATCTTCCCCTTTCCCAATTCAGATGCCTGGAAGCAGGAATCTGATCAGTCTGAGGGATTTTTGGTTGTTGATAGGTTGGTGGGCTTTGGTGTTGGTTTGATTGTTGGTCTTGGGGTGGTTGTTTTTTTGTTTTCACTTGGGGATACCACTCTGCACCACCAATCAGCTTATGAATTGTGCTTCCCTGGGTCTGGTGTCCTCCTCAGGTCCCAGCTGGCTGTACAAGGGCATCCTTTTCTTCATGAATGGTGGTAGGGCCATTTCACTTAGAAGGGGCTGTGAGGGGCGCCTGGGTGGCTCAGTGGGTTAAGCCTCTGCCTTCAGCTCAGGTCATGATCTCAGGGTCCTGGGATCGAGGCCCACATCGGGCTCTCTGCTCAGCGGGGAGCCTGCTTTCTCCTCTCTCTCTCTATGCCTGCCTCTCTGCATACTTGTGATCTCTCTCTCTCTCTCTCTGTTTCAAATAAATAAATAAAATCTTAAAAAAAAAAAAAAAAAAAAAGAAGGGGCTGTGAGGAAAGCCATCCTTGTGACAGACATGCTGGCTCCATTCTTCGATTTGCCTGCTGGAACTCACCCTTTTCTTATACACGCGCCTGGGCATAGCAAAAGAATGTTTCTTTTGTATGTGATCTTAGGCTCGCTAAAGGCTGTCACATTTGTCTAACAAGGGAAAGGGATGTTGCAGCATGAATATGAAAGAAGCGTTCTAGATATTGGCCTTCTTCTTGGACTTGTTCCAGAGAGCCTGTGGAATTACCATGGAGTCAGTCCTTGACAATCAGTACCTTAACTCTGTAGCACAATTTGCCCATGGATATGATCAGGTCCTGCATGTGATCTGGAAGGCTCAGAAAGTGCCAACTGTTGGCAGAAAGCTCTTCTTACTTCGAGCTACACGATAGTCTTGTAGTTCCTTTTCTACCTGGAGTAGGACAATCCTGGGCTGGCATGCGTTCCTCTCTCGGTGTACATTACCCACAACCACTGAGAATGCACCACTGAGTTGATGCTCAAAAGACACAAATTCTGAGCCCCAAGACACCATAGGCAATGAATTCATTAACGAACTCACGTTCAGCATGTATCATTGCATATTGGCAATTTACCCTCCATTTGGAGAGGAAGCTTTTACTGCCATTCATCCAGGAACTAAGGAAACACAAACCTCAAATTCACCACATTGTATCACAAGGGTCTGTCTTGGGTAAATTCTGTGATAATTAGCTTCTTTTGTTTGCACTTTCACTTACTTCATTCAATTTCTTCTTGTTGTATTAGGCCTGCTCTCAAGGCTGTCAAGATCTTTTTTTAGATCCTGATTCCTACATATCTTTTAAATTCATTTTCTTGACTTCCTCTGCTATTGATTTAGTTCAATTCTTCAGCATCTCTCACCTTGACTGTTGTAGTGACATCACAACTAACCTTTCTGATTTGTATCCCTTCCACAGTGAACACATCTTTCTCTCAACCTCCAAAAACAGTCTTTCTAAAGTGCCAATTTGATTATACCTTTTATGTCCCCCCATTTACTCTTTCACATTTCCATAAATGCACCTCACTTTCTTGGGTCTTCATGCCTCTGCCTTTCCTTCTGATGGGGATATTCTCCCCTTCTTTTGTCAGGGGGCATCTCCTCTGTAAAACCTCCCTGATTACTCCCTTCCCCCCAACAAAGACACAGAGCTCTACTCTACATTAGTGCTATATCTCGCATATTCTATTATCCATATATCATGGTATATTAATAATAACTTTTATATTTCTCATGTATTGATCAGTGTCTCCTACTAGACTCCAAGTTCCTTCCAGATAGAATATATTCTGAAAGCATCTTTATATTTTAGTTCTTTGTTTAGTTTATGTTTAGCAATTGTTTACTGGATTGAACATGAACTTCTGTAGTGTAGAACAGAGTCCCAAATGTCTGGCTGCCATGATAGTGAATTCTTTGCCCTGTTCCTATCCATTTCTTCTGACACCTGAAAGCAATGTGTGTAAAGCATAACCCTTTACTCATTTCCCATTTAGTTATTTCTGTTCCTTATTCATCATTTCCTGATTTATCCTCTACTGCTTTATACTCAACTGGAAAGCCAGTGGCTGTTTTACCTTTGGTTAATTACAAACTAAATGTCTTTGGCCAAGGAGGAACCATTTCTAATTAGGACAATGCAATGACATTGCACAATGACACAAGCTTGTGTAGTTCTGAGTCTTTCCCAGGCTCTCCAGGCGTGTGTGTATGTGTGTGTGTGTGTGTGTGTGTGTGTGTGTGTGTGTGTGAAGTACATAGCAAGGAATAAGAAGGAAGAAGCTGGCTTCTGAGTACCATCTTCCATGTTAATTTAACTCCCTTCTTCAAGCTAGCTCCCAGTTCCTGGCGGTCCTTCCCCAGGTGCCATTACCTTGAGCAGCAACTCCTTGGAGAAGTATTTTGGGGCCATGTCCTTTCCTTCCTGGTCAATTGGGCAGGGAAGTGGGTTGTTGGTCATAATCAGTAAGGTCTTATCCTGATCATACTCTGCTACTTTCAACATGAAGCTTCTGATTTTCCCATTTCGAGCCAGGAATTTCTGCACGGCGGTGGGCTTCAAAGGCTCATAGTACTTCGCCTGAGTGACACAGAGGTTTCCAGAGAGACAAAGGGATTAGATCAAGAGAAGATTCACCAATCAATTCGCTAGTCTTCTGCCTCTGTGGGGGAGGGACAGAGGCTGCACATGGGTGGGACAAATCTGCTCTGAAATGTGTTTTACAGAAAATATCTGAAGCTACCCGTCCCTCTCTGCCCTCAGAGCAGCCCCCTACAAATAGTTTAAGGGATGAGGAAATGAATTGGAAAAGTTTCCACATAAAAGGAGCGAGACGATTTAGTTCTTCTGAAAAAGTGTCACATCTGGCTGAACCCAATGGGGCAAACGGTAAGTTTCCATGTTAAACCTAAATGGTCTTCTCTACAACTCTCTCCGAGGCAAACAGAGAAATTGCCATACACCAAAGCTCCTTCCTTGTTTAGGGAGACCAACACAGCCCCCGCCTGTGTCTTCCCACCCACCAACATTTCTCCACAAGCACAACCTTATAAAGAAAAAGCAGTCACAAAAGACAGCAGGTCATTTAAGATGTGGTGGGAGAAGGGGCTGTCCCACAAAATTTGCTTTTCTATCTGTAGGGAGGAGGCAGAGGACTGGAAAGGGAAAGAATCAAATACCTCCTGATTAGAAATAGGTTTTCTCAACTTAAAGATAAATCAGCTGCTGGGCACCTGGGTGGCTCAGTCAGTTGGGTCTCTGACACTTGATTTTGGCTTGGGTCATGATCTCAATGATCTCAGGGTCATGAGATCGAGCCGTGCATCAGGCTCCATGCTAGGTGGGGAGATTGCTTGGGATTCTCTCTCTCCCTTTCCCTCTGCCACTCCACTCCCACCCCACCTCTGCACGTGCATGCTTGTGCAATCTAAAAAAAAAAAAAATCAGCTGCAGGGACCACCCTCTTCCCAGGTCCTCCCTGGTCCCTCACCATCACCATATACTCAGCATTACTGCTAGCATAGTGTCCTAAGACAGGTCTGCTTCCCTGTGCCAGGAGACTGTGCAGTCATAGAAGCTGGTGGCACCGTGCCTGGACCTTACTGTTAGGGTTGTTGTGGGGGGCGGTGAATCCTTTTTCACTTACCAAATTTGGGTGGACCGTGTAAAGCTGAAGGTTCTTCAGAACAAATTTTGATGGCGCAACGGGATCACAAATCTAGAGACAATAATTGAAACGGGTTTCAAGTTGCACAGAGCCTAAACAATACTCACCTGCGTCTAACTAAAAACTGGTCTCTCGTTTGAATTAAGTGAGGAGAACATGTGCTTCAGGATTTGTACCCCAGAATTCTGGAATGTAGGCCACAGCAAGGAGAGCTACGTTCTGAAGCATCCCCACAGGAAAGCTTGTCCATGGACGTGTGGACCCACTTTATGGATGTCAGGTAAAGCTGTGAGGGGGGGAAGTAGGTCAGGGCAGCATCAAAGTTCAGATGGGGACAAACCACTCCAAGGCATCACACCTCTTCCTTCTGCCCTTTCCATTTCTATAGGAAATCAGGTAAAAATCAACACAGAGGACACCCTCTAGGGAGAAAAGCAAGTTATAAAAGGGCAATCACCTCAGGGTTGTAGTGGAAGGGAGCCCCAGGGACCACTGCCTACCAAGATGGAAGATGGAAGCAGACACACGGAGGAAGGGAGAAACAATGGTGCATTTTGCTTTTTTTTTTTTTCTATAGTATGTGATTCTTCTGGAAATGTTGCCAAAAAATAACTGAATGCCAGAAATATTCCTGTCTACCACTTGGCATTTTTCCGCTGCTGGACATGCTGGTGATTGGCAGACAGGTAGAGTGTCATGTCTTGGTTGTACAGTTGCTGGGCCTCCCGCTTCTCCTTCACTGACCCTGCCTGGCCTCTAGCTCAGCCATAGGTCACCTAGAGATGAATCAAAGGCATGAGGGCACGAGGAGAGAAAAACTCTGAGTTACTTTGGGCTTAAAATAATCAGAAATCAAAAAAAGAGGAGCGGGCACAATCCTGTATTTGGATTAGCATTTCCAAAGATTGCCATGCCCCCAAGGGGGTGATATGGTAAGATGGGGTGCAGAGGAAAGGGAACAGGTGCTGAAGGGTAAGGAGAGCATGAACGTGAATGGAAAAGAGGGAAGAAATAAGGATGGGACAGAACTGTGCCATGAGGGGAGGTGTTATGCTCCTGGAGGAAAATGCCAGGGGCTGGCAATGACCAGGGGCTGTGAGGGGAGAGACCAGGAAGACTATCAGAGCCACTCCATGCATTCCATGAGGAACAATGGGAAGAGATAAATCCAAAGATGCAAAGATTTAATTTTATTACCCTTTTGGAAAACTGAAGTCCCTTTGTTCAAAGCAAAGATACATTATAAACAATCTGCTTCACAGATATATGTATTTAGAATCATACAAGTCTCAGAAAAATTTTGAGAGAACTATGTGAAAATGTTTCTTTTGTAGGGTTTGTGTGTGTGTGTGTGTGTGTGTGTTGTTTTTTTTGTTTTTGTTTTTTTGTTGTTGTTGTTTTGAGAAGGGAAGGGTAGAGGAGCTCAGGGAGAGGTAGAGAGAGAGAATCTTAAGCAGGCTCCACACACATCATGGAGCCCCACACAGGGCTCAATCTCATGACCATGAAACAAAAATCGAGAGTCAGACACTTAACTTACTGAGCTACCCAGGTGCCCCGATAGTTTTTTGTTTGTTTGTTTGTTTGTTTTAATTTTAGGGGAGAGAAAGTCTCTGAGGAAAATGCTTTTACTCTTAAATGTTTCCAAATTAGTCTACAGTGGTTGACCAAACCCACAACAGTGTCCTAAGTGGAATATGTTTTTGGTTTTATGTTGAATTACACTATCCTGGATGGTAAAATAAAATTGGCCTGGAAAATTCACTTGCATATGAAGAAATCTTGGGAAGCAACTGAGCTACCCAATGGGGTTTTGTAGCAAGAGGTGGCCATAAAGTCTAATCAAGTTGGGTTTCTTTCTTTTTTTTTTTTTTTAAGATTTTATTTACTTATTTGACAGACAGAAATCACAAATAGGCAGAGAGGCAGGCAGAGAGAGAGTGGGAAGCAGGCTCCCCACTGAGCAGAGAGCCCGATGTGGGGCTCGATCCCAGGACTCTGGGATCACAACCTGAGCCGAAGGCAGAGGCTTTAACCCACTGAGCCACCCAGGCGCCCCGCCAAGTTGGGTTTCTAAGATAGGATTATGGTCCCTGGCTTCTAGCCCTGATTTGTTGCTGATATGTCCCTGTCTCTTTTCTAAATCTCTCTTTCCCTTTCATAAAATCAGGATAAATTAACCTTGCTCTCTATATAAATATTAACCCCTTTTTGCTTTTCAACAGGAAGTTTTGTGAACCCAACTTATAAAGTACTCTCTTCCCTCTAATGCTCTTTCTTACCTCATCATTATCAACCACTGTTGCTTTCTCAAGTTTAACTGAGATGGTTCTTGGAAGGCTTGATTTGCTTTGTTGAAACCTGAAAAAGAAGCAGAATATCCGATTATATTTTCTTACTCTGAGGCCTGGTCTTTGGCCCATTCTCAATCTCCGTCGACAGAGTTTGGGAGCCTGACTTAGAAGAGCCCAATTTGGAGATTCAAATTAAAACCACATTGAGATACCACCTTACACCAGTTAGAACGGCCAAAATTAGCAAGACAGGAAACAACATGTGTTGGAGAGGATGTGGAGAAAGGGGAACCCTCTTACACTGTTGGTGGGAATGCAAGTTGGTGCAGCCACTTTGGAGAACAGTGTGGAGATTCCTCAAGAAATTAAAAATAGAGCTTCCCTATGACCCTGCAATTGCACTACTGGGTATTTATCCCAAAGATACAGATGTAGTGAAAAGAAGGGCCATCTGTACCCCTATGTTTATAGCAGAATGGCCACGGTCGCCAAACTGTGGAAAGAACCAAGATGCCCTTCAACAGATGAATGGATAAGGAAGATGTGGTCCATATACACTATGGAGTATTATGCCTCCATCAGAAAGGATAAATACCCAACTTTTGTAGCAACATGGACAGGACTGGAAGAGATTATGCTGAGTGAAATAAGTCAAGCAGAGAGAGTCAATTATCATATGGTTTCACTTATTTGTGGAGCATAACAAATAACATGGAGGACATGGGGAGATGGAGAGGAGAAGGGAGTTGAGGGAAATTGGAAGGGGAGGTGAACCATGAGAGACTATGGACTCTGAAAAACAACCTGAGGGTTTTGAAGGGGCGGGGGTGGGAGGTTCGGCGAACCAGGTGGTGGGTATTAGGGAGGGCACGTATTGCATGGAGCACTGGGTGTGGTGTAAAAACAATGAATACTGTTACGCTGAAAAGAAATAAAAAATAAAATTAAAAAAAAAAAAAAGAAGAGCCCAATTTGGGTGATCACTAATTGAATATGTATGTATAGTAAAGAATAGGATTTTTTATCCAGCCTGCATGCTGGGAGAAAACAAAACTTCGGTTTGAAGAATTAAGCAAGTGGGACCTCTTGGAGACATGATGATACCTGGGTAAGTTGAATTCTTCTAAATTAGTGATTTTAGATAACTTAAGGAAGTGCTCTGGGTGAACTTCTTAAGGACACTCTTTTGGGCAACTAGAACTTCCTAATACCCTTAAAGACCACCTACTATTTTGAATGCCTACCCGCCTACTCTTCTCTGGAGGGAAATGACTGTACCTTTGCCAGTAGCTGATTCCATGAGAAGGGATATTATTAGTGGGAGTTCACAACCAAATTTCCAATTCCTTTTTTTTTTTTTTTAATATGGAACACTTCATAAATTGTCATGCCATACTTACGTAGGGGCCATGCTAATCTTCTCTGTATTTCCATTTTTAGTATATGTGCTGATGACATGAGCACAAATTTCCAATTCTTAATGACCATGCTTGGATTACTGGCTCCCATCCTGTACCTAACCATATCTAGGTTTCTCTCTCTAGGACTAAGGTGGTAAAAATCATCCATGGCAAAATATCCTCACACTCTGTTCTTTCTCTTACTTTCTGATCCCCTACCCAGATACCAATTCCTTTTGGAGAAAAGAGGGACACAGACATTGCAATATTTAGTAAGAAACTATTTTAGATCCCTCACTAATTCTACGAAACCCATTTAGTGCCTAAACATAGTGAAAGATGCTCATCAGTAAGACTGGGTTAATGATTAAAATAAATGGCCTGTTTCCTCCTTGGAGATAGTTCCTATTTGGGTATTAAACTAGCTTATATTAAGTAGGAGCTTGGGACAACCTGAAGTACACCTCGCTCCTCTAAAAAATGAGGGTGGCAGTGCAAGGACCAAACTAAGAAAAGTAGAAATGGCCAAGCTATGTATGTAGTTGGCAGGTCAACTGCTGTAGGATGGTACAAATCATCCCAAATCCAGTATCAAGTCCCATCCGAGCATGGATCACTTCCATCTGTTGCAGCCTACCAACTTCATCACTAACTCAGGCCAGAGGTCTTAAAAATAGTCTCAAGTGGAGCAGGTGACACATTGTGAATAGACCAAAATAAATTCATCCCCACTTAACTTCTTAAAGTTGGTACCCTTTTGATGTGTCCTACTACCTTAAGCAATCTCATAATAATACACTATAATCTTTATTATAGCACTTCTCAAAATGCTTCTTTATTATTTCAAAGGCAACACAGGATCCCAGATACTCTTTTTTAAGGCCAATTTAAGGCTCTAATAGAGCCATGGGAAGAACTGTTCCTTTAATCCAGCAGCATCAAGGACAGTCTGGCGCTTTCCTTTTGCTAATGCTACTTTAGTTGCTGCATGAAACACAGACCAAGATCTGGGTTTTTACCTGAGAGCAGTTGGTCAATTAGAACATTTTTAATGAGAGTCTACTCTGGAACTAGACCTGTTCAAAGAGATCTGGACTACAAGTCACGTTTGTATAAAACTGTATTTATAACTTAGTGAGGTAAACAAAACTACCCACTTGGCATATCTCTTTTGGTCCATTGCTTTTCACCACTCAGTGGGCCAGTCCGAGGCAAGTATATACCCAGAGACCAAATTCAGTGCCTCCAAAGAGTCCACGTTCTGCAGGAGCTCAATTCAATCCATTCCTTCCTTCGGACACATCATATGCCCAGCCCCGTTCTTGATCCTGAGTGGGAAACGAGAGAAGACTGGTAGGTGCTGTTGTGAATGCAGAAAATGCACAAGACATGATGACCTTTGTCCCCAAGAATTTGGGTGGTAAATGGTGGGGTGGGAGGGGTGGGGATGGGGAGAGGAAGTGACCTCTAAATGTGAAATAAGAATGACAAATGCATGCTAATATATTAGGTAAGTCATTTCGTCTCCTGGGGTCTTGATTTCCTCATCTGTAAAAATGGAGAGAGCTAACCAAATGATTTAAAGATAATATTCTAACTCCCTTTAGACAGCAGTAAAATTTCCCTACATTAAGACCTGAAATAAAATTGACTCACGGGTCAATCGTGGGAGCAAATTGGAGAACAATGATGCTTTTGTTTATCTCCCCTTTTAATACAACCGTGCTCCCATATGTCAGGTCTGGAAAGCTAGGGAAAGTGTGTGTATATATTGGTATGGGGAGAGGGTGGCAGGGAATTGCTACATTTTTTTTTATATAGACTATTTAAAATGGAAGCTAAAAGTTGATGATGTGCAAGCCACGTTTTAGATAAAAAAGGTCAGTGAGGCTTGGAGGGACATTTCCTAAAGGATGTGTGGAGCTTGAGCTATGGGCCTATGAGAAGGTGTGTGAAGTCACTTACCTGATAGGTGTTTGTCACTGCTGTTCAAAGTAGCAAGACATAAAAGTGGATATAGGTGGGATGGGATCGAATTATGGAGGTCTTGGCAATTAAGTAGAACTTTGATAGGCCCATCAGCCCAAGCCACTATAAAGACCATGGATTTGGAGGAAAGATTGTGTTCGTGTTCACAGTGTCAATAAGTGATTGTTTAAGGTTTATATCTAGTTTAATTGTCTAGACAGAAACCCTAAAGACAGTTGTCTAGAGTTTATGACTAGACTGAGATCAACCTCTGAAAGTTCCCTCAAGGGGAACAGACTAATAAGCTTTTCACCCTTTTCTCACCTTTAGCTTACTGGAAGTGAGTCCAATTCATGCGTATATTGAAACTACAATAAATAGAAGCCATCTATTTATGGCTTCTGGGAGGTACAAATCTTGGGCTACTCTTCTGTAACCCAGGGTGGAAAAAACAAAATCACACAAACGCAAAAACCACATCTGAAACAGAGAGGGAAAGATCTGGTGTACAATACCTTGAAGGACATCAGGAAACCCTATTATTGAGGAAAGGGAGAGTCCTCGGCACTGAAACTTTCCATTTTGAAAGTGTCTTATTCTTTTCTTGATTCTGGAGTAGACACAGAATCTCTGATGAGTCGGCAATCTAGAATGCTGAGGTGTTCTGCGTTGGAGACAACACAAAGACATGCTTAAACAAGATCTGCTCCCATCTGTTCCAATTTGTTTTTCTAACCTATGACTTCCCTATACACACCCTGACCTTGTCACCATATTTTAATCAACCTCTACTTTAGCCAGTGTTTTTACCCTATTCCTCAAATACAGCAAACTTTCTCTCTTATTCCCCACACTTGTAAGGCTCTCTCCACCTCTTCATTTGAATCCTCTTCTTTCTTTATGTTACTACTGAAGTCTGTCCTCTTCAGAGAAGACTTCCCAGATCAATCCAATCCCAAATTCTAGCCTGTGGGCATTATTTTGTGTGTGTGTGTGTGTGTGTGTGTATGTATGTGTGTGTGTGTATATATATATATATATATTTATATATATATATATATATACACAATTCTATAGTTCTACCTGTATTTTTCTTCTGTGCAGATACTGTTTGCCTCCTAGGCAGTAAACATCTTGAAAGTGATATGTGAATTTTACATGCATTTGCTCCCCCCTCCACCACAGTGCTTTGTGTATTAGGATTCAAAAATCAGTATTTGTTTATTTCAGTATATTTCCTGACTGTTTATGATGTGTAAAGCACCATCTGAGGCAATGGGAACCAAACACAGATCGGGCATAATCCTTGACTTCAAGGACCTCACAATTTAGCCAGGAAGAGAGACAAAAAAAAAAGAGTTCAATGCAACAGATTGCAATGCCCAGATCAGAGATCAGTTTGGGATGCTGTCAGATCAAAGAGGAAGAACACTAAACCCTGGGACATTTGGGACTAACAGCTAAACTGAGCCTAGAAAGCTGAGTACGAGTGAAACACGTGAAGAGAAGAGAAAAATGGGCATTTGAGAAATAGGCAGCAAATAAGCAAAAACATAACAGAACAAAGCATGGTTTATGTAGGGGAACTGCAAATAGCTTATGCCTAGAACATAAGATTTAACAAAAAGGGAGAAAAGAGATGAAACTGGGGAGGAAGCCAGGATCCAAATCCTGGAGTGTAGTCCCTGACAGAAACACACAGGTTCTTCTATGAGTAATAAAGATCTATTGAGGGATTTTAAGTCAGGAGATATATTAAACGATATATATTTTAGAAATATGAAAATGGTGACAAGGATGCCTGGGTGGCTCAGTGGGTTAAGCCTCTGCCTTGGGCTCAGGTCATGATCCCAGGGTCCTGGGATTGAGCCCCGCATCAGGCTCTCTGCTCAGCAGGGAGCCTGCTTCCTCTTCTCTCTCGGCCTGCCTCTCTGCCTACTTGTGATCTCTCTGTCAAATAAATTTTAAAAATCTTTAAAAAAAAAAGAAAGAAAATGGTGACAGTATGAATTATAGATTAGAAAGACAAAGAGGCCTTTGAGAAGCCTATGGTACTAAGGAAGGAATGAGAAAATGTAAGAGTCAGTTTGTGCTACCCACCTCTGTCTCCTCGCCCTGGATGACCTATTCAAAGATGGCCAACCAGATTCTCTCCACTAGGAATCTGAGAGTTTGAAAAAGACACAGAGAGATGGGAGTGCCTCGCTGGCTCAGTTGGTTAAGTGGCTGACTTCTACTCAGGTCATGATCTCAGGTCACTGGGTTCCCTGCTCAGCAGAGAGACTGCTTCTCCCCCTGCTTGTGCTATCTCTCTCTTTCCAAATAAATAAAATAAGTAAACAAAAAATAAATAAAATTTATTTAATAAATTTAATAAATTTATTTAATAAACTTAAAATAAATTTAATAAATTTATTTAATAGACTAAATTGTGGAGGCCAAGAAAAATTAAGGCCATCCCACCTCAGGTTTAGCCTTAGCATAAGTACAGCCATCTTAGCTCCAGCAGCCATCTCAGACCCCTGTGCCCAGGGGCTGAACTTTCCCCTACTTTACTTTAGTTCTAAGGACCCCCACCCTGCTTTGGTAACAAGAACCCCCACCCTGCTTTGGTTCCAGAGACCCCCACCCTGCTTTAGTAACAGGAAGCCCCACCCTGCTTTAGTAACAGGAACCCATAAATACTCCTGCCTTAACTAAGCTCAGGGTCCAGGTCCCTACTCCGCTGTGTTGGGTATACTTGGGCCCAAGCTTAAGCTTGTCAAATAAACCCTCGTGTGATTGCATTGGTGTTGGTTCCTTGGTGGTCTCTTGGATGCGAAAACTCAGGTACAACATAAATAAATAAAATCTTTTAAAAAAAGACACGGAGAGAGTTGAAGGATGATTGTAGCTGAGTTGTCTCAGGCAGCCTCCCTTGCAGAAGGGCTAAGCTCCACCAACCGAGATCCCTCGAGCTGCTGCAGATCCAGTCCTCCCTGAAGCATAGGTATTCAGTTTTCCCTTCAGTTCTGTGAGCTTTCCCAATAGCTTTTCAAATATCCTCACCCCACCCTTTTTCTTCTGAAATTAGTCAGAGTCCATTTCTGTTGTTTACAACAAAAACAACCACCTAAGCTGATGTCGGCTCTAAAGCCAGCTAGCAGCCTGGGACATCTGAAAGATTTAGGAAGATAGAATAATAGGATAATCATCCAATTGTTAACCAATTGGATCCACAGGCTGATGGATATAGTCACAGTTTTAACTTGAATCCTGGAGTGAATGGAGGTGCAATGTACTAAATTAGGAAATGAGGGAGGTAGAGTGGGCTTGGGGGGATAAATGATGAGTTTTGGTTTGGGTTAGCTGGATATGAGGTACAGGTAGGGATTTCGTCTAATCAATAGTTTAAAATATGGGTCTAGAGCTCAAGAGAGAGGTTTGGGATAGAGTGCCCCATTTGGGAGACAGCCTCAAGTTCATGTGCTAGTGGAAACCATGGGAGTAGGTGCGATCAAGCAGGAGAAATGATGAGCTGAAGACACCAAGACACAGGACAGAGTCCCGGGTGACACATTCACCAACAGAAGAGCATCCTGAGTAGAGGTACAGAGAACACTGAAGAAGAGTGGCCAGAGGTTGGAGGAGAACCAGGAAAAGATAGCCATGGAAATCTTGGAAAGAGACGATACCATGAAAAAGGGAGAACCTCTACCTTACCCCAGATCTGAACTGCGGCTTTTGAAGGTAGAAGAAAGGATTTTTAAAACTCACTGAAATGGCCAAAGCTTAGTAAATAGTACAGCACCACTGATTGTAAGGCAGATAAGTCTAGATTGAAAGAGACTACTAAGCTGGGGTTCATGGCAGAGCCAGGATTTGCTGGAACAGAGACTGTCTGAGAGGAGACAATGTGAACTTATCACACATTCTCCACTGATTGTCTTCTTTTTCAGGCATAGGCATTAGCTCAACCAAAACTCAGGTTGATGGCCCCTTTTTACAGAACCTAAGAGTGGGTCCCTCATACCTCCACCTCTACAACTTTTCACAGCCAGACAGAGACCTCACAGACAGGGTAACAGCTGGGTGGTGAGGACGGGGTGCTGGGGTGACACAGTGCATTCTGAAAGATATGACCTTAGGAGCAAGAGCAGTGAATGAGGACACCAGGCAGGAAGAACTCTTTGCAGAACCACTATCCTCCTGTCCTCCTATTTTGAACTGGTA